GAAATCAAAAGAAAAGTTTTTAAAAATATTTGTGTAGCGGTAGAATGGATTCATGGAAAAGACGTTGTACACCTGGATTTAAATCCCTCGAATATTATTTGTAAAGAGGGTAAAGAAAATTACAAAATCAAGATATGTGATTTTGAGACATCCCGACAAATTGGGGAAATACTTCAAGTCCAACCTATCCTTTCTGATACTCAATCAATTCGCTCAAACGATACACGATATTCCAGCTCTCAAAGTCAAATATTACAGCAACAACTCACAACGTCATATACATGCCCTGAATTGTTATTATTAACTTATGAAGATGATAGCTTGGTTAGCAATCAAAACAACGAAGTCGAAGTTGATTTTAGCCAAGATATCTACAGTTTGGGACTTATCCTCTATTTCCTATACACCAATAGGACTTTATATAATTCATTATATGAATTGCATGAAAAACTTTCAGGAATTGAAGATAGAATTAGAAAAGATATTGAAGATAGTAGGGTTGCTGATCTCGTACTATCCTGTATTAGAAAAAATCCAAAGGAAAGGCCTTGCATTGAAGACGTTTTACATAACGCATATTTCAATAAAATAAGTCGGGGTGATAGCGGTAAAAGTTTCAGTTTGGATGATGGTTGTGGTGAGGAGGAGGATTTAAGTTGAGAATTACAAGTTTAGACAATAGATTTTTGTTACTTTGTATAAATTGTACATTACATTATCTTATCATTATAAATGTATATTGCCTTATATTATTTATTGGTCTTTTTTTACATAAAGGATATTTTATTAAGTAATGCTTATAACATTTGTAATTATTTTTATTTTAGATTTGTTACAAATGTGCTCTATTAAATATCATTAGTTATCGACGCGTTCGAAATTATTATAATGCAAATTTAAAATTCGAGTATTTTTGCACCAGTAAATCATTTCCCAAAATTCTCTTACAACCCCAAATTTAATGGACCAATCAGTTGCGGGATAATCGGTTGATTAGTTGACACAGGACCCTAAAATTTGCAAAACTCTCTAAAAATTTATTTTAGAAAAGAAATTTACAATAACTGACTTTACCTATCTATATCTATATCTATATCTTACTTACATCTACGGAAAAAACCGTAGGATTAAAAAAAAAATTTTTTTTTTCTTTAAACACTGAACCGATCTAGTCACGAGAATGAAAGACTCTTTGTTTTTTTTTGTTTGACCCAAAGCAGCATAGCTTTATTCAATAAATGGGTAACAAAAAGGGAGACTATTATCAAGGTCTATTTGGTATAGGATTATCAGGATTAGGTTATAATTAATCAAAAAAATGCGACAAATTATATGCATGATAATCCTTTTTTTCTAAACCCAACCTTTTCGTAATTTATTAATTATTATGAGTCATTTTTGTTATACTTTATGTAGAAAGTAATTGCATAATATGAAACTACTGCGACATATTCACATATCATAAAAAGTCACATGACGTTCAATTTTATCAGTCGAGTTTTCAACACATTTCAAAATTGTAATTAAACGCATTATTGTTGCAAATAAAAGGATTATGTTCCAACAAATTGAAATGTATGTAGAAAAGAAAGAAAAAAAGTTTCTTTTTATTTGTCGTATGATTAATTTAATAGGGCGTGTGTCTTTTTAAATAGACATTTGCTCGTCGGGTCTTTGAGCAATGAGTAAATATGATGACCTTTGATGAAGAAGCTTCAAAGATTTCAAGAATATAAAGCAAAACGCGTTCATTATGCAAGGGTCCTCCAAATTCCTGGTGAATAGTCGCGCAATCACGTGATTCGCACATCATGAATGTCTTTTTTTTCCTTTTCTTAAAAAAGTTTTAAGAAATCGAGAACAAGTAAAGATAAAACATTAATCATCGCACCTATTGCAAAGGTTCACTTGCGTGTTAATTGAATGCCTGCGAAAGAAGCTTCAATTCCAAAAGGGTGGTGAATCATTTGATTGGTAATCAAATGTCTTCTTTCTCTTTTTTTTTTTTTTAATTTCATTGAGCACATATGCATCTATTTAATGCATTTAGACATTTACAAGGAATCAATCGCGATTGAATCAGGTATGACAATAATGGAATGTCACGTGATGCGTGGAAATTATGCACGCACGACAGGGGAAAAAAAACAAATTACACGATGAAACATCCTTTTTTATTTTTTTAAACAAATAAATAAATGAAGTAACCAAAAAATGCACAAGATTTTTAATTTCACGCATATTAATGATTATTAAATTAATTTTATTTGTTGTTTAATTTTTTTTTAAAAAAAAAAAAAGAAATAGCTCTTTGATGCGCTTAAAACGAGAATGATGGTCACTGCGAAAAAAAGGGGGGGGGGGGAAAGATCAACCACGGTCGGCAAGAAAATTTAAGGTTTTAAAACGAACCGTTCTTTTTTGTCTACATGAACCTTCTAAACAAGAAATTTCATTTAACATCCTATTTTGGTATGATAATATAAACAACCTTTAATAGAGAGGTTATACCATAAATTCTGTTTGAAGAAATATAATTTTAAATTAAATCATTTTAATATAAATAAATCATTTATATTTACACATGAAATGAAAACATGTACTCCCGTATTATACCGAAAACCGCAATCAATATGCCGCAGTAATTGTTTTGGTGAAACGGCGGAAGCTAAAATCAGTTACGCTATTTTGGAAAACTCTACTCATAAGCCCGCGAATTAATTAATTAATGTAATAAATCCACACATTAGGCGACTTCATTTTCAAACCCCTAATTTTTTTTTTTTTTAGTTACCCTCATGTGGAAGTCACTTTGACGGAATTACCTTTTTTTTTAAAATAAAAATATATTATATACTGTATATATTTATTTATTTTACACATGACAGCATCCTTGTTCCAAAAAAAAAAAAACTGAAAACCTCGTGACTTAGAGGCGTGATCAAGTTAAAAGAAATGGAGGAGAAAGTGTTTCGTTCGAATGTGGGCTTATTGTTGGTTGCATAGAATATTTTTTTAAATTGTGTAACTCATCCATTAAAACTTATCTAATTCCAACGAAAACTTGTCTACGGTAATTACTATACTTGGCTAATTGTGAAACTTTGTCTAGTCATGATGATTTTTTTAAAACACAATTTTTCTTTTTATTTTCTTGGAAACATTATGCTACTTGACACTTTATCTAAACCGCCAATATATCTTACCACATTTAAGAAAATGTTAACTTCGTTGACGTGAACAAAAAAAATGAAAAAAAAAAAAAAAAACTATTAACGCGTTTTATTCCAATATTTTGACGCATTAATTTAAAAAATTACTCGTTTATGTCTAATAAAACGGAGACATTCCTTGTCCTCCTTGAAGGACTTAAATGACTGGTTTAAATCTTATTTTTCATACAAAACACTGAATTTCAGTTAGAATACAATAACAAATATGCAAATGTTACACGAGACAAATATTTTTATTGTTGTATTTATGATTCATGCTAAATAGGGAATCAGCTGCGCCACATAAAGAATAAATAAACGAATAAAGAAAAAAAGGAAGAACAAGGAAAATGCAAATGCATCATAATGGGTTATTTGCCCTCCGATCAATAGATCAAATAGATGTGATTATTAAAGCATTTTTTAATCGACAGAAACACAACTTTTTACATTGGATGACGTGCATTTTATAATATATTCGGGTAAAATTTTTTACGATAAGAAAATCAAGAGACTTTATTTTATTTTCAGCTACAAGCAAAAAGAAATATTTGTCGTGAATTTTTTTTTTTTTTTTTTTTTTTTATTAAAAAAACTCCCTTTTTATTTACAAACGTGTTTTTTTTTTTTTTTTTTAATAAAATATTTTCCCCAAACGAGTACTAATCTAAAATTCCTTTCATGTAGATATTCAATAAAAACAATGGTACCCTTTCTGCGATTGGGAACTTTTCCTTGGCCTACCCCTTCTCTTTTTATATATGGCACTTTGTGTAGCTGTTACTCTCGCGGGAGAGGGAGATGAAGAGGTAGAGGAGGAAGTGATGTTGTTGTTGGTGGTGGTGGTGGTATTTACAGAGGATAAATGTTTTAATTTAGTTATAGAATTATCAATTTGATCCAGTTTAGAAGAATAAGAAATCAATTCTTTTTTAAGAGTTTTGGCGAATCTAAACTTGGTAGACATTTTAAAGTAATAATAAAATTCAACAACTTGTTTAATTGGCTTTTTCAACACTCTGGCGATAAGACCGAAATTTTTCCCCTCTGATAAATATAAAGCTAAAAAACTTTTTTGTTCTTGATAAGTCCAACCGGATAAAACCTGTCGTTGCGATTTCGGTATGGGATAATTTGGATTTTTCGATTGCGGTAAGGTTTCCTCCGAAACATTTTGAGAAGGTATGGTCACCTTTCTTGAGAATGAAGGGATCTCTGCCACCTTATTTGAATATTTTAGCAAAACCTTTTCCTCCTCTGACAATGGGTGCCTCGGTAATTTCTGATGCCTTTGCTGCCTTTGCTGCCTTTGTTGTGTTTTCTGTCTTTGCTGTCTTTGATGCTTTTGATGCTTTTGTTGCCTTTGCTGTTTTTGATGCTTCTTCTTTGAAGACGGGGGATCCTGACTTGGTATCGTTTTTTTACTACGTGTGCGAGTGGCAATACCGTTAACGGGTAACTTCAATTTTAAGAAGATGTCTTCTTTTGTTTTCCTTTGATGATTTCCCTTGTTATCATCCTCACACATGTCATTGTCATTGTCATCATGTGAGGATTTTTCTTCGTCCTTGATAGAATTTTCACCCGTTTCTTCCAGGTCGTCCGAACGAGAGGAGACGGAGAGGGAAGGTGATGAATGTAAAGGAGAAGGTGATGATTGTAAAGGGGTAGGTGATGATTGTGAGAGAAAAGGTGATGATTGCTGTTGCAAATCAATTTTATGAGCGTTCAGGTTATAAGAAGAAGGTAGTTTCTGTTTGTTATGAGAGGTAAAAGTATAAATTTTTTGCGGGAAGGAATTTTCATATATTGTGGGCATCGTTGCTGTTAACCAGGGAGAATAAGAAGATATATGAGGTTCTCCAAATGGACTATTAACGTGAATGCCAAATGGGGTAGTAGGTGTCGTCGGAGAATCAGGATGATCACTTACTATATCATCACTGGTATGATCTCCGAGGCATTGATCGGACGCAGCCAGTTCGGAAGTAGAGCATGATGATGACGACGTAGTATCGTCATTGGTGACAGAAGAAAAGTAGGTTTGCGGTATTGATGTCGCTGGTAAGGTATCGGTGGAATTATTATGATTAAAATTATTTTGATTCCGATTCTGAAAATGAAATTTTTTATGCTGATGAGATAAGAAGTATGTATCTAATTTGGTCAGAGAATTAATGTTATAAACACCACTAGTGTTGTTGTTATCACGAGACATTTTATTTTGATGGGTTTTGCGTAAAGTTTGGGAGCGTAGGAGAAATTGTATTTTAAGAAATGATAAATGGATGTGCCCGTTTGAAGGAAAACCCAATAATAATAATAATAATAATAATAATAAAAAATAATAACAATAAAAATAAAAATAATAATAAAAATAATAATAATAATAATAATAATAATAATTTTCTTTTTTTATCAAAAAGAAAAAAGAAATTTTTTTTTTTT